TCAAAGCTCTTCCCGTCGCGATGCGATTTGTTCCCCAATTAGGCTTGCTTGAGGGGTTCTTGCTTGGTTGAAGGTTGGTGCCCCGGGGGCTTACTTTGCCCGTTCCCCAGAGATTTCTCGGGTTTCCCAGGTTCTTCGGATTCCCCGTGTTCCCTGGGGTCCCTGGGTTCCTTGGATTCCTTGGGTTCCCCTGGGTCCCCGGGTTTCCCGGGTCTCCCTGGTGCTTCATGCCAAGCATTAAGTTGGGCGTGTCCCTCTACATGGAATAAAATTCAAAAATAGTCACAAAATAATATGGGGACGATTTTTTGGAGTATGTTTGAGCATTTTTGAATATGTTTTGACTATTTTTCGTTTTTCGTCCAACATCCGCCTGTAGGGGGACATGCCCGACCCAAGCCAAGCAATGCCAAGCAATGCCACAGGTTCCCCGGGTTCCCTGGGTGCCAAGCAGTGCCAAGCAATGCCAAGCACTGTGCCCATCCAATAGGAAGCTTTCCCCTTATCGGGGTCGCGCCGGGCTCATTTTTTCACATGCATGCTGTGTAGGTGTGGTTGGGTCCTGATCGCGCGAGTGGGATGACCCTTCTGATGGGGCAGCGGGCTTCTAGTTATCTGAGGAGAAGAAAACCAGTTCACCCGCGGGGGCGCGAAGATAATCGCGCTTCGTGCGTCGCGGTCCGGGCCAGAGCGGCTGCGCTTCTCCCAGGGAGCGGCGCGAGGGCGTGAAGATGGTCGCATCGCGGGGCGCGATGCGCGAAGTTGGTCGACCTGAGAAGTGGCGACGGCCCCCTTGGCCCTCGGGGTGGCCAATCGACCGTGGGTCCGGCTGGCGCTCCGCCCCACGCTGAAGCAGAAGCTCGTGGCGCACAGGGGCTGGCACCGCGACCACGCTGCTGCGGCCGCGGATCGTCCCCTGGAGAACACGCGCCAGGCGTACTTGGACGCCGCCGCCTTGGACGTCGCGTATGCGGAGTCCGGGCAGCGAGAATTGAGCGGCAGCCTCGGTCACCCCCAGGTGCGCGAAGACGATCGCGCTTCGCGCGTCGCGGCCTGGGATGCAGAGGCGCCATTCTCCTGGGCGGCGGCGCGAGGGCGCGAAGCCAATCGCGCAACGCGGGGTGCGCTGCGCGAAGTCAGGCGACCTAGAAAATGGCTCACGCGCCTCACTCCTGGCCAGGCCCGCACTGGGCCCAGGGTCGGTGTGCACGCCCCAATGGCTGGGGCAGGAGTCCTTCTCCTCCTCCTCCTCCTCCTCCTCCTCCTCCTCCTCCTCCTCATCCTCCTCATCCTCCTCCTCCGCCTCCTCCTCCTCCGCCTCCTCCTCCTCCTCCTCCTCCTCCTCCTCCTCCTCCTCCTCCTCCTCCTCCTCCTCCTCCTCCTCCTCCTCCTCCCCCCTCCTTTCCCCCCTCCTCCATCCTCGGGGAAACGTCAGACTCGAGACAGCCGGAACTCGGGTCTGGCAGTATTTTTTGACGATCGCGTGGGATGTTTGCAGCAGGAGTTCTTTCAGATTGGTCATCATAATTGTGACGGTGGCCCCGTCAGGCCAACCCGAGTCCGCCATACCCGAGTCTTACGTCTCCCGATCCTGGGCTCGGGGTGCGCCTGGCCAGAGTCGGTGCATGTGCATTGTCTGTCGTCCTCCAAGTCAGGAGTGTGACGTGTGGGTGACCCGGGACGAGCAGTTGGTGTTGAGCCACGACTTCAACTTCCAGGCGGTCGCCGAGGACCCGAGCGGTCTTGAAGGGGCCTCCGAAGCTCCTCGAAGGCCCCTGCAGATGCCGAGAGGCGTGCAAGAATGTCCATGATCGGAGGCCTAGAGGTTGACACCAACACAATCATCGGCGGTGTGCCTCCACCGAGGGAAGATGATCCCGATCTCGGTGATGGTGGTCATATTCGGGCTTCCCAGATGGCCGAAAGACTACCATCAGCACCAGGACCTGGGGTCGCCTTCCCCTGGTGGGGGCAACCCCCTGTGTTGGTGCTGGTGCCCATTCCCAAGCCTCAAGCATGAGCCTTCCGAGGAGGAGGCAAGAGCGAGGAGAAGGGAGAGGAGCAGGAGGATGAGAAGGAAGAGGAGAAGGAGGAGGAGGAGGAGGCGGAGGAGGAGGGAGGACCAGTGCAGACGCAAGGCTCATCAACGATATTGCAATAAACCCTCCCTCCAAGCTCCCTGTTCGTAGGCCCCTACAAGGATTCGTTCTCTCTGAGGGAAGTGCCCCCCTGGAAGACAGCCGCTTGAAGGTCCAGAGTTGTGCCCGAACACCGCTCCTGGGATTTCAACGCCGCGAATCACCGTTACGGCTGCGCCTTGACGCTCATGAACCGTGCCAGAACACTATTTCTGGGACTTCAACACCGCGAGTCAGCGTGATTGTTGTGCCTTGTGCCAGAGCGCCATTTCTGGGACGCCAACCTTGAGAATCCTTGGCACCGCTGCGAACTCTTAAGACGAATGTGCGCGGTGCTAAGCCGAGAGCCATTGATTGGAAAGGCACCGCCCTTCATCCGTGAAACTCTTGCAAGCTCTGAGCGCCAGGATCATAAATTGTGAGGAAGTCTCAGGCGAAACGCCTGGCCCGCCCTTCAAACCGACCTCGGGCTGCGACAGGGAGGAGTTGTTCATCGGAAGAGGGATGGAGGAGGAGGAGGAGGACGACGATCATGATGATGGTGATGCTGATGGTGATGATGATGATGATGATGATGATGATGATGATGATGGTGGTGGTGGTGATGGTGATGGTGATGGTGATGGTGATGGTGATGATGATGATGATAATGATGCTGGTGATGATGATGATGATGATGATGATGATGATGATAATGATGATGATGCGGATGTTGATGATGATGCTGATGATGACGATGATGAATGTGATACATAGGATTAGTATGATGATGCTGATTATGTTGATGATGATGATGCTGATGATGCTGATGATGGCGATGACGATGGTGTTGATGGTAATGATGCTGCTGATGATGATGATGATGATATTGATGGTGGTGGTGGTGATGGTGGTGGTGATGATAATGATGGTGGTGGTGGTCATGATGCTGATGCTGATGATGATGATGATGACGATGGTGATGATGATGATGATGATGATGATGATGATGATGATGATGATGATGATGATGATGATGATAATGATAATGATGGTGGTGGTTGTGCTAATGATGATGATGATGGTGGTGGTGATGGTGGTGGTGGTGCTGATGATGATGGTGGTGGTGATGATGATGAGGAGGAGGAGGAGGAGTGTGGGACGGGAGTGCTCCCTTCTGTCCATGGGCCTCCAGCCTCGATCTTGGAGCCTCCGCCCTCGGCCGCCGCCGAGGACCCGAGCCAGGACCTGGCCACGAGGCCCATCGCGGAGCTCCGCTGGGAGGAGCTGCGGCGGCTGCGGCTGCGCACGGACTGCAAGCCGGCGCCCAGAGGCGGGCAGAAGTCGGGGCTCGCACGCCACGGGGGTAGCGCTGGCCGCGGTCGGCCCGTCCCCTCTCTCGGCGGCGAGCTTCCTTCCTCCAGGTCGTGCGCCCAGGGAGGTTGCACTTGAAGGCAATGCTCTTCCTCACATGCACGGTGGGAGAGGAGTGTTGTTGAGCCGTGTTTTCTTCCTCGTTCTTGACTTCGCTTGCTGCATGAAGTTGCCCTGGATACGCGTTCTCTTCTTCTCTTCCACTGCCCGCGGTAAGTTGCTTTGGAGACAAATGTTGCTCCACACCTTCAGTGCGTTGCAGTGGTGAGCTCTGCGGCATCATGTGGTCATCATTGGAGCGGTCTGTCTACATTTACGCACTCACACACTTTTTGCGTCGGCGGCTGAGCAGGAGTTACTGCACCGGCGATCGCGCTAGATGCAAATTGGGCCGCAGTGCACGTGAGGAGAAGAGGAGACCCTGGCGCGACGGGTAGCGCACACACACAAACACACGCACTCACGCACGCACGCACGCACACACACATGCACACACGCAAACGCACACGCACACGCACACACACACACACACACGCACACGCGCACACACATACTTATACGCACACACACACACATACGCACACGCGCGCACGCACATGCACACATACACACATACACATAAACACGCACACACGCATACGCACACGCACACACGCACACGCACACGCACCCACACACACTTTTGAATACAAGCAAAATATATGAACACATAGCTTGCATACATACATACATACATACGTATGTATGGTTTGAGAGGATGTCAGTGCAATGTGTTGATTCAATGTTCCTAGTTTAAGTAATCGGCTCTGGCCTTTGGAAACCAGATAAGTTAAATACATTAAATTCATCGAATTATGGTAACTAATTGTACCATGTTTGTTGTTTAACCTATTTCATGTATTGTTGCGCCCTCCCTGGTTGAGCTCGCGGCGAGCCCCAGGCGCAGCCGAATTAAGTCAATTCGTTAGCAGATACGTTTTCAAATCCGTAAGGGCTTCGCCCCCTGCCGCCGGCCCCCTCTCGACGCTGCCTTGGCGCATCTGGGAACTGCATGCGTGGGCGGATCGGAGTCATCAGCGCATATTGAAACGTTGGCGTTATCGAACACGCCTACGGAGAATTACCGCCGCCCCCTGCCTTTTTGGAAGCGCCTATGTGGCCGAACGTTGAGGCCAGACTTGCGAAGCTATCGGACCATGTGTTCCCCGAAGTGGTTTGGAAAGCCTTCGGGGAGCACGTGGGCATCTTGAAGGTCATCTTGGCCGTCTGGAGGCCATTTTGACTCTTTCGGGCCTTCTTGGAGGACGTCTTGGAGGGCTCTTGGGCCATCTTGGAGGCCATCTTGAGCGTCTTGGAGGCCTCTTGGGCCGTCTTGGGGGCATCTTGGGCTTCTTGGAGGCCTCTTGTGCCTCTTGGGGCCTCTTGCAGGAGATCGTGGCCTCGGGGCCCGAATGTGGCGCGATTTACACGGGATCGTGGCTTCGTGTAATTTACACGGGATCGTGGCCTCGGGGGCGCGAATGTGGTGCGATTTACAGGGATCGTGGCCTCGGGGGCGCGAACGTGGCATAATTTACAATGGATGGTGGCCTCGGGGGCGCGACTTTGGCGTAATTTTATTGGGGATCGTGACCCCAGAGGCGAGAATGTGGTGCAAGTTCCATGGGATCGTGGCCTCACGAGCGTGAATACAGTGTCTTTTGCAAGGGATCGTGGCTTCAGGGACGCGAACGCAGCGTAATTTACAATGGATCTTGGCCTCGGGGGCACGAATGCAGTGTAATTCACGAGGGATGATTGCGTCAGGGGCGCGAATCTCATGTATTTTCATGCGCCCCACGCCCCCCCAGAATTCAGAGCACGCGATTCGGGGACGCTTACCAGGGTATTTTTCGGTTCCCTCCCCCCGTCGCGCGGACAGTAACAATTTATCAATCGCTTCGCTCACTCCGCCGGCCCATGTAGTCTCCTGGGGGCCTCTTGGGGGTCTTTTTGGGGCTGAAGGCTCGGATTTTCGCATCGCTTTCCCCCTCTTGGGCGCTTCTCGGGCCGTCTTGGGGGCCTCTTGGGCCATGTTGGCCGCCTCCTGGTCCCTTCTTAGGGCCGTCTTGGGCTGTCCTGGGCGCCTCTTGGGCCGTCTTGGGGCCCTCTTCGGCCGTGTTCGGCCCATCTTGGGGGCCTGTTGGGCCGTCTTGGGGCGATCTTGGGGGTCTCTTGGGCAGTATTGGACGCTCTGAACCCCCAAGAGTCGCACACGCGAAAAATGTAGGTTTTCATAAGGAACTGAGACGATTTGTGGCTGTTGAGACTCTCTTGGACTGCCTCTTGAGGCTCTCTTGGGGCTTCTTGGCGGCGGTTTGGGCCGTCTGGAGGCCATCTTGGGCGTCTTGGAACGATCCTGCGGCGACCCAGGGCCTTTCAGACAGTTTCGGGCGCGTCTCGGGGCTCTCTTGGGGCGTTCCTGGGGCGCTCTGGAAAGCTTGGAAGGCAGCGCCGAGGAGGAAAACCATCTTTGGGACCCACTTGGCCGGGACATGCTCGGGGTACTTTTCGTCCGGGGGCCCCCAGGGGCCGCCCCACGCGCGCGAACTAGCAGATTACTAACCAGTTACGCACGCCTTTGGCCCGTTGGGCCGGTGAATAGTAAGAAGCAGCAAGCAAGATTGTAACATTGGAAATTGGAATTGGTGCAGGAAGCAGCAAAATCAAGCCTCGCACCCTGATGGCCCCGCAAGGGGGGCGACGGATATGTGTATATATATATATATATATATGTATGTGTATATGTATGTGTCTATGTATATGTATATGTATATGTATATGTATATGTAAACGTATACATACATACATACATACATGCATGCATGCATGCATACATGCATGCATGCATGCAAACATACATACATACATACATACATACATGCATGCATGCATGCATACATACATACATATACATTTGCATACATATATATATATGTATATCTATACATACATACATATATATACACATATTATACACATGCGTGTGTATGCAGTGTGTATGTACGTGTTGCAGAGGCTTCTCGGGGAGGGACGAGCGTTCCGAAGACGCCGACCCCGCCTGCTTAGAAGGCCGCCCTTCCCGCGATGCCCCCTCGCGCGCACCGCCCAGGCGGTGATACATGCTGCAGAGGCTTCTCGGAAGGGACCATCTTCCCGAAGAAGCCCCAACCCTTCAGTCGGGCCTGTCCCTCTACAGGAGGAATATTCAAAAATAGTCCAAAAATAGTCTAGGGCCTGGGGATTTTTTTTGTTGAGTATGTTAGGGCATCTTCTGAGTATTCTTTAAATATTTTTATATTTCGTCGAAAATCCCCCTGTAGGGGGACACGCCCGACTTACCCCCCCCCCTTCGAAGGCCGCCCCTCTCGCCATGCGCACCCCCTGGCGCGCGCCGCCCAGGTGCTGCTCCTGACGGTGCTGCAGGAATTTGCCCCCCGCCCGCGCTCGCCTGGCGCTCGCTCTCGGGAGCTCCAGCAGCTCCAGCTGGCGGCCTCTGGGGGTCCCTGGAGAGGGGCCCTCGCATCGTCTCTGGAGAGGAGAGGTCCCTGGAGAGGAGCTCCAGCTGGCGGTCTCTGGAGGTCCCTGGAGAGGTCCCTGGAGAGGTCTCTGGAGGTCTGGAGGCGCCAAGCGTCCCAGAGCGCTGGGGGACTCGGCCCTCGCACTTCAGTCTGCTAGATCAACCGCGAGGGCGCACACGTGGTCACGCCTCGCGCCTCGCAGCCTGGGCCGCAAACGCGGCGCGAAGATGACTGCTCGCATCGCGGGGCGCGAATCGCGACGCTGGGCGCCTCAGACCCTCTACCCCAGGACCTGCTCCCCACCAGCACGCGCCTGGCGATCGAGCTCAAGAGCTCCAGCTGCGCGCCGCGGCTGGCGGCGTGCCTGGCCGAGCGGCCGGAGCTGTCGGCGGCGGTGGGCTTCGTGCTGAGCTTCTCCCTGGGCGTCCTGGAGGCCTTCGCCGCGACCCTCGGGAGGGTGGCCGCGGACACCCGCCTGGTCCGCCGCGGGCGCGCCCGCCCGCCCGAGTGCCGGCTCCCGGCCCCGTGCAGGGCGATCGGGGCCTGGGCGTCGCGTAAGGGGCGAATCTTGGCATCGCTAGGACGTGTGCATTTTTTTTTCTCGGCGAGGACCCTCGAGGAGCATCCTTGATCATCTGGCGAAAAAGCCATGCACGAAGCTGAAAAAAAACATAGGGAATGGACGTCCGAGCGATGGCGAGTGAATGGGGGGGGGCGACGACTTGGGGGGCGACGAGGGCTGCAAAACATGGGGGCCCTGTGGGGCCCCCAAAGCGGCCGCTTCAGAGCCCAGGGCCTCCAGGGTCCGAAAAGCGCACCCTTCTTCCTCCCCCCGCCTCTTATCGCCCCGCCACGAAGCGACGCCCAGGGGGGCCCCAGGACCGAGGCTTGACGGGGAGGAGCTCGAGGGTCCGGGTCCGGGGAGGAGGATGAGGAGGAGGGGGATTGCAGCCCGGGTCCCGGGGCCGGCCCTGGGCCTGCGGGGTCGGCGTGCGCAGCTGCCTTCGGGCAGGCCCTCCCTTGCTCCGCCGCCTCGGGGCTCTGCCCTGGAGGCACGCTGGAGGCCATCCCGTGACCAGCCTCAGCCACGCGCAGAGGAGGCGCGGGTCTCGTCTGTGGATGTAGGGCCAGCGCCTCCTAAGAAGCAGCATCCTTCTAAGAAGTCTCCCCCCCTCCCCCTACCCCAGTGCGCGCCGCCAGCAGCCTGCGCGGTCCTGAGTGGACGAGGAGGGGGGGGGACAGGAGGGTGCGAAATCCGTCGTGTGCAGCCAGTTTCGGCCCCGCCGCCTGGCACGTTCCTTGATACACGAGGAGGCGCACGGAAAACCAGTTGCATGCGGCTGATCGCATACCCTGCCCCGCACTGACACCCTTTCTTTCGTCCACCCAATTGGGCCCTGCGGGGCCGTCTCGGAGCTGCCTTGGGTGGGGGCTTTAGGACGCACGTCGGAGGAATTCCCGGAGCGAACTTGGCCAGTCATAGAGGCTATCTTTCTCACTAAGGCCATCTTGGAAGCATCTTGCAGAAGAGCCACAATTTCGACACAAATTTTCGAAGGTCTGCGCGGATTTCTTGGGTCGGCGCTGGACATCACTCCCCGTCGCGCGGTGCGCGCTGGGGGCGGCGCTTGAGGTGTTGCCAGGGGGTGACGGGGATCAGCGTTGGCCCTGTGAATCCGCGCGGACCTCTTCAAGTTTATGTTTGTCCATCTGGAAAATCCCGTCACCGTGCCAGTCCAGTACAGTGTGCGCTGACGGTTGGAGTAACGGTCAGAACAGTGGCACGTGTCAGATTTCGACCGTCTTGAGCTTAGATTGAACATTGGAGGTCAATGATCGTGATGATGTTGGAAGGGAGGAGGAGGAGTAGAAGGATGAGGAGGAGGACGAGGAGGAGGTGGAGGAAGCAAAAGAGAAGGTGGTAACTTGTGATCTTGTCGTCTTCACTTCTTGAGGAGCTCTCGTGGTACTCGCTTGGGCGGTCTTGGAACTGGCTTGGGCTCCTGTGGGGCAGTCTTGGGGGTCCCTTGGTGCCCTCCCGGGCCGTCTTAGCGCCCTTTTGGGCCAATTTGGGGCCTTCTTGAGCCGTCTTTGCGCCATCTTGGCCAGACCGTCATGGGGCCGTCTTGGGTCATCGAGGGGCTTTCTCTTGAGCTGTTCTTGGACCGTCCTGCGGCTCTCTTGGCCGTCGTCTTGGGGCCGTCGTGGTGCCGTCTTGATACATCATTGGGCCGTCCAGTGGTCACCTGAGGCCGCCTTGGGTCCTTCTGGAGGCTTTTTGGGGCCAGCTTGGAGCTTTCTTGGGGCCGTCTATGGGCCCTCTTGGGCTGTCTGGAGGCCATATTGGAGGATTAGTGCGCAAGTTTGGGGTCGTCTCAGGGACCATCTTGGAGGCCTCTAAGGCCGTTTGGCGCTGCAAGAAGTCCGAAATTCTGGAAATGCTGAAATCTTTGAAACACCAAAGCAACCGCCCTGCGCACGCACCATGAACTCTCCTGGTGTGCGTTCTACATGGAAAGACAGCTGTTTCTTACGACTTTCGTACTCATGTATGAACATATGTTTCTAAGCTGGTGTTTGACACAGATTGGCAGCGATATTCGCCGCTTGCACGTGCAGCCGCTTGGCCCACCCGAAGCTGTGGCTCGGGAGGTAGAAAGCATGGCCGAGCTCAGCCGCTCCACTGCTCCAGTCTCCTCCCAAACTACAGCTTGACAATATCCTTCTACGCAGCCCCTCTTCGTCTGCAGCACCACATCCAATACTCCACAGCCTCCGTCTCCAACACAAGACCCACTACTCCACAGCCTCCTCCCAAAGTGTGACTTGAAAATGTCCGTTTACTCAACTCCCTCCGACTCCGACACCACACCCAATATTCCACAATCTCCGCCTCCAACACCACACCCATTGCTCCACGGTTTCGCCCGCAAGTGTACATTCATAATGTCCTTCGCCTCCACAGCTGCCGTCTCCAACGCCGCACCCATTATTTCGCAGTCTCTTCCCAAGTGTAACTGAAAAGATCCCTTCTTCAACCCCCCCTCCGTTTCCAACACCACACCCATTAATCCACAGCCTCCGTCTCCAACACAACACCCACCACTCCACAGGTTCCTCCCCAAGCGTAACTTGAAAATGGCCGTCTACTCAATTCCCTCCGACAGTCCACAGCCTCTGTTTCTCACACCACACACATTACTCTACAGCCCCTTCCCCAAGTGCAACTTGAACAGATCCTTCTACTCAACTCCCCCTGCCCCAAACACCACTCCAATCCATACTCCACAACCTCCCTTGCCAGCACCACACCCACTACTTCACGGTTTCTTCCCCACGTGTAAAGTGAAACGATCATTCATTTCAACTCTTTCCAGCTCCAACACCACACCCTATATTCCACAGTTTCCGCCCCAATCACACACACACACACACACTATTTCACAGCCTTCCCCCAAGGGCAACTTGAGCAGATCATTACATTGACCTCCCTCCGTCTCCAACTCCACACCCAATCTTCCACAGCCCCCGTCTCCAACACCACAAGCTCTGCTCCACAACCTCTTTATTCCTCAAGTGTATGTTGAGAATGCCCTTCGGCTCCACAGCCTCCGTCTCCAACGCCACACCCACTACCTCGCAGTCTCCTCTCCAAGTGCAACTTGAATCATGCTACTGGAGTTCTCCACATGAGGATGTCACAGTGGGGCCTAAGTGGGCAGCGTTGTGGGCCCTCTGTGTGCGCTCTGGTGCGGCCTCCCTGGATGGGGCTGGAGGGGCACAAAACCGTGTAGATAGTTTGGTTCCCCGAGACCTTCGCTCAGGCGGCGCCTCCCTGGAGGGGTTCGAGGGGCACGAAACCTTGGAAACAGCATGGTGTTCCGAGACCCTCCTCGCTCTGGCGGGGCCTCCCTGGAGGGGGGGGAGGGGCACGAAACCTTGTAAGTAGTTTGGTGTTCCGATACCCTCCTCGCTCAGGCGGGGCCTCCCTTGGAGGGGTGGGAGGGACACGAAACCTTGTAAGTAGTTTGATTATTTGATGCCCTCCTCGCTCAGGCGGCGCGCGTCCCTGGTGGGGCGTCTTGGTAGTGGTAGTAGTGGTAGTTGTTGTTGTTGTAGTAGTAGTTGTTGTTGTTGTAGTGGCGTTCGTGTGGTAGTGTGGTAGTGGTAGTATAGCAGCAGCGGCAGAGAAGGGCGGAGGAGGAAGAGAGGATGTTATTGGAAAACAAGACCCCACTAGGGATGTGGGGTCTCCAACACGACACCCAATCCTCCACAGACTCCGTCTCTAACACCACACCACACCACTACTCCACAGCCTCCTGCCCAGGTGCATGTCAATGCATGCCAGTTCATGCATGCCGGCTCCCTCCGTCCCCAACACCACCCTCAATTTTCCACAGCCTCCGTCTCTACACACAACACACTACTTCGCGATCCGTTGTCTTTTCGCCACCCAGGCTTGCATTCGAAGGGCCAGTGGAGGTCAGGCCTGCGCCGGCCCGCCTTCCTGAGGCTGCGTGGCTCTGTTTCCTTGCAGTTTCGCACAGGTTTTCCTTTTGTTGTTTGTTTTGTGAGTTCTTTTCGTTTGTTTTTTGTTTTGTGTTTGTTTTTTGTTTTTCCTCTTTGTTGTTCCTTTGTTGTTTTTGCTTTTCCTTTTTTTGAGTAGAGGCCCGAGGCCTGCGCCGGCCGGGGGTTCCTCTGGCTGCGTGGACTGGTGTCCGTATTGTTCTTTTAAAGAGGCCTTCTGGAGCTGCTTGGCCTTGTTCCCTGACTGCCTCTGAAGAGGTTTTATTCGGGTTGCATGGTCTGGTTTCCGTATTGATGTTTCAAGAGGCCTTCCTGGCTTTGTTCCCTTCTGCTTTTGAACAGGCCTTCCTCCAGGTGATGAGTCTTGCTTCCTTAATGCGTTCCTCGGGTTGCTATGCTGTGCTTTTTCACTGCATTGCTCGGGTTGCTTGGTCTTGCTTCCGAGCAATGTTTGCTAGCAATGCCAAGCAACGCCAAACAACGCCAAGCAACGCCAGGCAACGCCAAGCAAAGCCTAGCAATGCCAAGCAACGCCACACAACGCCAGGCGACGCCACGCCAAGCAATGCGAAGCAACACCGAGCAGTTCGAAGCAACGCGAAGCAATTCCAAGCAAAGTAGTTCAATGCCACACATTGCAAACCAATCCCGCTCAGGAAGCGTTCCATTGTTTGGGGTGGTGCCGGAGTTATTTACGAGGATTCGTACTCTCGCGAAGGGGGGTCGATGCAGCATTGCTTCGAGAGTGGAGAGGGGTCACTCAGAAGATTACAGAAACCCTACCAGACAGCACTTGGCATTCTACCACGCTTCAACGAGCCAGGAGGCACAGTGGCGGATCTACAGCCAAGACGTTGAAACAAAGACCGCTTTGGGTTCGGAAGGGGCTCGCTGTTCCTTAGGTCATCCCCTGGTTGTT